GCCCTACTTTGCCTCTGCACGGGGGCACGTGACAGTGAATGACTCGATACTGCTGGACAACGATGTTGCCCTTGGAGTTGCTAGAAATCTAGTGACTCCCAAGGATATACGGGTGCTGGGAGCAAGGGATGACAACCGGGTCGTGAGCGATGCTTTGGCACTAAGCGTGCAAAGCACGGCAATAGTCGCAAGTGTGGGTCATCGTCTAATTGCGAAGTCCCATGAGGTGGAGGTGCTAAGAGGTCAGTTGGCGGCAGAGCGAAGTATGGTGGAAGAGTGCCAGAGTATTATTAAAAGCTTAAAAAGGGAAAGGGCAAGGATAGTGGAGGTGAATCGACACCAACTAGAAGCGTTGCGGGAGGAGAATAAAAATCTCTCAAAGATGGTAAGTGTTTACGCTCAGGACATGAGAAAGCAACTGGAGGACCTAGACCGACCGGGTAAGCGCAAGAAAACAGATCGCGAGAGTGGTTACGCTCAAGCTAAGAGTGCAATCTTTGGGAGCTCGAGTGATGAGCCCCAAGAGACTGCACCTGAAGCCCCGGAAGAGGATAGCCATAGGGCTAAACTCAAAGGTCCTATGGTCAAGGCACCGAGCACTGTGAAAAAATGATTCTAATGTATTATTAGTGTGCCTGTTTGTCTTTGCCCTTCCCGTGTATTTGTATTTTTTTTATAAATTTCTCGTTTTCGGAAATAAAATAAAAGAAAGTTGCACAAGACAAAGAAGAAAAACAAAACTCACTTCCCAAACTGGAATAAAGGGAATGCGACAAACGAAAAAGAAACAAATCACACTTCCCAACTGAAATAAAACAGAGACGACAAACTAAAAAGAAATCAAAACACAATGCACCAGAACAGGGAGGAGAAGAAAGTAAAGTGAAAGTAGAAATGCTTCCCTTTTAACTGGATGCAACCGCAAATTGCTCAAGAAATGCAAAGTGGTGTCGGCTCCCTTATGAGCATATGTCTATTTAAACCACTTCTCGATTGAAAGGAGGAGTACCCTGCATTTCATCCTGCAAACTCAAGAAAAACCATCAAATAGTCTAGACATAAAAATCAATGGCATCTTCAGCTATGCTCATTGATGACCTTAACCTTGAGTTGTCACTTGCACCACCAAATGCAGAGATAAGGGCTCCTCAAAACCCTATCTTCCCAAACTCCTCATACCATCATGGCTCGACCTCAAACTTCTCTGAGGCGGTGCCGTGTAGGGCAGTACTGCCGGAAGGCATGACTGTCAGCAGACTTACAGTTGCAGATCATCTGCATGTGGCGCAGAGGTCTGACAAGATGGCAGTGGACGAGTCCCACAATTTAACCGGGCTCAACGCGGTCTCGGCCACAAATTTGGGCATGCGCCTACTGGCGAGAACACGAGAGTGCGGAGCACTGAGTGAGGAGGTGGCTGCCCTGAAGGCTCAAGTGGCAGACTTGCAGAAATGGCTCTACTGTGCCAACCAGCAGGTAGAAATGCTGCAAAAGAGAAATAAAGACCATGTAGAGCTACTGCAGATTCTACAAGCAAGAACAAACAGAGGCAATTAGCAGAGGCCTCAGGTGGCGCAGAATGCAACAAAGAACATGTGATTAGGAATTTTATGTACGCTTTCATTATTGTGTTTGTAATCACATGTTATGAAAATAGAATAAGCATTCACGCCCAATTCTGATTGTGCATTAATGAATTGAAAACACTTCCCAAACTTATATAAAACACTGTTTATAACTGATGGAGATTTAAGATTAAACAATGCCATATAGAAAAATTGGGATGGATAATCACATAATGAAAGGAAAAGTAAACAAACAAAACGTTGAACTAACAATAAAAGTTGAAATAATCAAACTAACAACCGTCTTAAAATAAAACCCAAAAACAAAATAAACGAAAAATTCAAAAGGGTACAATACTCAAAGTACTACTGATCATCATCAGCATCATCACCATCATCATCATCAACAACATCATCATCATGTGCAGAGGTCCCGGGTTGACCTGGCATCTGGAGGTGCGTCCAAATGGCGTCAATAGAGGTGCTCATATGCTGCATCTGCTGGTGGTGGTGCTGCATCTGCTGGTACTGAAGCATCTGCAAGTCCCAAATGGCTTGGAGAGAGGGCTCCCAAGCAGAAGTGTCGACAGTGGGAGCAGGTGGGAATGGCTGTGCTGGGGCCGGCCCATGTGGTGGTGGTTGTGGCATATGGGGCGGCACTGGAGCAGGTGCATTGCGCCTCTGAGAGATACTCTTGGACACATAAGTGTCCGAAATGGGACTCATGGGCTCAACAAATATATCATTAGAGCGAGCCCGAACACCTGAGCGTTCACAAATCATGCTAACAAGGCAAGGATAATATATGATGCTTTTCTTACATGCACAAGCCTTCAAGAGTTCAAAAATAATGTGAACAATAGGTAGGGAAAAAATTCCCTCATGCAAAATTTTCAGGATCATGACCCCTACTTTGGGAATTTCCGACCGTTGGCCGGATGGGTAGATGTTGTGGCGCACAAAGCTCCACAGGATGACAAAGCAGGGTGTCAACTTACCCTGAATGAGGACAGTCTTTTTGGTTTGAGATGCAAAGGCAGCAGGGTCAGCATAAAAAAGTGTTTCAGCTGCGCTTTGCATGTCAAAATCCCTACCCAGATATTGTTTCCAATTATGAGTATCCTTCTCAGGTATGTGAAGAACCTTAGAGATAATGGAGGTGGATAGTTCAAAATTTTTGCCCCGAACCTTAATGGGCACATCTTCATTATCTCCAGACTCTTCCCTAGGGAAAGCAGCATAAAACTCTCGCACAAAAGATTCATTGTATTTTTCATAGATACGAGCTAAAGGTAAGAGGTTTCGGTCCCTAAGAATGTGCTGGACCGAAATAAGTCCAGCGGTTTGGATGGAGGGACTAAGATCTAGGTTACGCTCAGTAACCACAGTGGCAGTGAGCATTGCCTCTTCAGGTTGAGGTGCACTTCCTGAAGAAGATGCATCCCTTCTGGTACTCTTTCTAGCTCTAGACATCTAAGGAAAATAAACCTATATGCACAAAGCAAGACAACAACAAGATTCATGCCACAATTCCCAAACATGCAATATGCCACAATGCCAAAATGCAATCCACATTCCCAACATTCAACCACAATTACAATGAGTCAATAATAAACACAAATAACAACAACAGTGGTCAAGATAAGAGATTAGAGTAAGAAAACATACCCAATTGAGCAAAATCACACCAACACAACCACAAACCACAATCAAAAACAAAAACAAATAAAAACAAGTTAGAAACAAGAATAAACAATAAGAAAAGCAATTAGAGTAAGAAAATCAAAGAGAAAACACCAAAGAAAAAACGAAAATTACCTTGGGTGAACAGTAACCCTAACTGAAAATCTTCTAAAATTGATGAAAACACTTGAAATTTCAAGGAATAGATGCAAAAAATGGATTCTACTCAAAAAAACAAGTGAGAAAAGTGTGATTTGAGTAAGGATTAGGGTGGGTTTTGAGTGATTTAGAGGGAGGGAGAAGAGAGAAAACGAAGAGAAGGAGGCTGGCTGTCGCTGGGAAGAAGAAGAAGTGAGGAGAGAGAAGAGAGAAAAGAAAGAAAAAGAGCCGGTTTTTAAAAAAAATCGCGACGAGCGACCGGTCGCAAGTGATAGGCGACCGGTCGTTTTGAAACAGATTCAAAATAAAAGAAATACGAGAAGAGCGACCGGTCGCAAGCGAAAAGCGACCGGTCGTTTTTTCACAGATTCATTTTTTCGAAATACCAAAAGACCGACCGGTCGCAAGGCAAAAGAGATCGGTCGTTTTGAGGCAGATTCAAATTTTTAACCATTCGCGCAGAGCGACCGGTCTCGATGGAAAAACGACCGGTCGTTCGTGGGTTTTTTTTTTATTTTTAATTTTATATTTTTTTGTTATAAATATTTTATTTATTTATTAAGGACTTACCTTCCCAACTCAGTTTTGCACCACAGCAAGTACATCAATGAAGTGGAGCAGTTCATCTTCTTGATGCAAAACATTCTCATGGTAGATTTTCAACCTATGCCCATTAACCTTCGATTCATTTCCCGTGCTAATATGTCGGATATCAACTGCACCATAAGGGTAAACATTAGTAATAACATACGGGCCCGTCCAACGAGATCGAAGCTTACCTGGAAAAAGCTTGAACTTAGAGGTAAAGAGTAATACTCTTTGCCCTATTTCAAACGACTTCCTAATGATATGCCTATCATGAAATGCCTTTGTTTTTTCCTTGTAAATTTTTGCGTTCTCATAAGCATCATTGCGAAGCTCGTCCAGTTCGCTCAGTTGTAACGTTCTGATATTTCCTGCTTCCTTCATGTCGAAGTTGTACTTCTTAATTGCCCAAAGGGCCTTGTGTTCAAGCTCGACAAGTAGATGACAAGGTTTACCAAAGATTAAGCGAAAAGGAGACATACCGATTGGAGTTTTGTAAGCAGTTCGGTAGGCCCAGAAAGCATCGTTAAGAAGCATAGACCAATCCTTTCGAGTAGGACCAACAGTCTTCTCTAATATATGCTTCACCTCTCTATTGGAAATCTCTACTTGCCCACTAGTTTGAGGGTGATAGGGGGTGGACACCTTGTGAGTTATGCCATACTTCTTGAGTAGGGTCTCAAATGATCGATTGCAAAAATGGGATCCTCCATCACTAATGATGGCCCTCGGCGTTCCAAACCTGGAAAATATTTTGGCTCGAAGAAAGCTAAGAACAACTTTCGAATCATTAGATTTGGTTGGAATTGCTTCCACCCATTTTGAAACATAACCAACCGCAAGTAGAATAAATAGATTTCCAAAAGATGAAGGAAATGGTCCCATGAAATCTATTCCCCATACATCAAATATTTCAACAATTAGAATTGGATTTAAAGGCATTTGATTTCGAGATGAAATGTTACCCATTCGTTGAAGGTACAACAAATAATCACCAAGCTGCCCACCATGAGAGCGCCTATTCCGGGACTTCCTCTCAAGCTTTATCTAGTTGCAACAAACACAGCGGTTGGGGCCTTACTTGCCCAGGATGATCATGAAGGGGAAGAAAGTCCCATTTATTATGTGAGTAGACAATTGAGAGGTGCTGAAACAAGATACCCAAAAACCGAGCTCTTGTGCCTTGCCCTTGTCTATGCTGCGCAATGCCTGCGACATTACTTTCTTGCTCACAAGCTGCAGCTCATGGTGAAATCTGACCCCGTAAGATATTTGCTCACGAGGCCGGTGCTATCTGGACGCTGGTTGCTACAACTATCCGAGTTCGATATCACATGCGCAGCCCCCAAGGCCATTAAGGGGCAGGCTGTAATTGACATGCTGGCTCTATTTCCTGAAGTAGAAGAATCGACCCTTTCTGAGCAGGTTCTGGGGGAGCTGCCGGAAGTAGTTGCTGCAGTTACAGAAGAGGAACCATGGACCTTTTACTTTGATGGGTCTTCTACGTCAAAAGGTGGAGGAGCAGGTGTGGTGCTCATTAATCCAGAGGGACAAGCTACAGCCCTCTCGTTCAAGCTAAATTTTCCATGCACAAACAACACGGCAGAATATGAAGCTTTTATTATGGGAATGTCTACAGCAAGAGAGATGGGTGTAGAGAAAATCAAGGTTATTGGGGATTCAAACCTGGTGTTAAGTCAATTACAAGGGAATTTTGCTGTGAAGGAGGC